GCGTGCCCGTACGTGTGGACTTCGCGCAACAGATGAAATCAAAGTTGTCTAAGTACATGCTACGACGTCAGGCCTTTTTCACAAGAGTTGATCACGGAAATATTGATTGGTTCATTCATTCAATCGTCCATCGTCCATCAGATCGCTCCATGCATACATGAAGAGAACAGACACATAGCACCTCAGATGTTCCCCGTCCTCCGTGGTGTGAGAGTCGTCACATACCAGACGCCCCCAGACACCCATAGCATAATACCTACTGAGGAGAAGAAAAAGACCAACCAGCCACCAGGACGCGGCTGAACGGAGGGAGGGAAGAGAGGGCGCAGCTACTCAGTCGGTCATGCAGCATGCAGAATGACATGTATATAAGACAGACATACTCGTTGGCCCAACCAACAACAGCCAAACACACAGGGAGCCATGAGACGGGCCACAAGCAAGCAGAGACGAGCTACTCTGTGAACGGAACACGGCAGATCAGATCAGATCAGTAGGACGTCATGTGGCTAATCTCTCTCTCCCCCACCCGCCCATCGTTCGGCTGACTGACACTCAGACAGGCTCACATCGACATAGACAATGCGCTAATGATAGCAAGTGCAGTCGCAGGGATGGATGTGATCCTCAAAGGGACGTTCAATGGGGTGATGGTCACACTTACAGTCACAACCCGTATGCCAGCGACCATGACACTCACACGGACAGTTGTAGGTACGGCTGTGAAAGTAGTCACAAAATCCCGGCAACCCCCCACCGCACCAACAATCACAGCCATCCTCATGGGAGTGATTGAGGTTGGGTAACACGTTCAACTTTAGAGCCCTCAGTTCCAGACTGTCACCACCCTCCTGCACACACACAGGACAGACACGACAGACACACACATACCCACACAAGGGAGCGACAGGCGGACAGACGCATCCACATCCATCCATGTGACAGAGAGCAGCACAGGCCCATGCATTCCTTACCATCGACGGATCAGTGACGGCCGCGGCCTCCTGCAGCTTGCGCAGGGGTGTTGCGGCGCACAGAGCACCGGCCATCAGGAGGGCACCAACCAGGCACAGAGGCACCTTCATCGCGGGAGAACAGGCGAGAAAAGGACAAGGGAAAACAAACTGAGAAGGAAGGAAGGCGGAATGAAGAGTGGAGCTGGGACCTATTGGGATCTGTCCCTCTTCCCATTTCCCACTGGGAACGGGACACCCAACGTCCGAAACCGAAGGCACACCCAAACGCATGCTCCGTCCAAAATGGGCAATGGGAAGTTCCCAGCTCAGATTCTTCATTCCGCCTTCCTTCCTTCTCAGTTTGTTTTCCCTTGTCCTTTTCTCGCCTGTTCTCCCGCGATGAAGGTCCTTCTGTGCCTGTTTGGTGCCCTCCTGGTGGCCGGTGCTCTGTGCGCTGATGACGTGAAGCACCCATCCTCCCTGCGCAAGCTGAGTCCTCAGGGCGTCGCTGATCCGTCGACGGTAAGGACATGCAACATGGCCACAACTTGCTCATGCTGCCTCTGCGTCACCGTGGGTTTGCATGCGTCTGTTTATCCGTCGGTCCCTATGTGTGTGTGTGTGTGTGTGTGTATGCATGCAGCAGGGTGATGAAGCTCCTGTGAGGGCGCTGCATGGACCTCACCGCGACCACGATGATGACCATCACCACGACCATGACTACACCGACCGCGTGGCCCTCGGTTTCGTCATGACCACCATCGCCGGTAGGTACGCACGTGTGTCGATATGACGCAGATGCCTGATGTGGCGCCGGTCACTCGCTGTTGATGTGCTGTTGTGCGCGTGCAGGTTTGTCCACTGCTGTGGGCAGTGCGCTCTCCTTCTGCCTTCCCAAGCACAATGGCAAGGTACGTGTGCTGCACGTGTGTTTGAATCCGCACGTACTCCGCGATGAATACATGTATGTCTATATCCGCGTGCGGACGCATGCCCACATTATCGGTGTCTGCAGATGCTTGCGGTGTTGTGCATGTCTCTGTCTGCGGGCGTCATGCTCTACGTGTCGTTCGGGGAGATCCTCAGCAAAAGCATCGTACGATCGATCGACATGCACGCACACGCACTCCCAACAAACAGCGCGTGCGTGTTTGTACATAAATGCACATTTTGAATGTATTGTGCAATGAATAGGACGAGTTTCGTGAGGCGATTAGCGACGGGGGGGAGGCGTACGCCAACGCTACGCTGTGCTTTTTCGGCGGTACGCTCACACGCATCCACATGTGGCCACACAAACATACACCTGCACACAAAACAAACAACATACCTACGTGTGCATCAATCGACAGGTATCCTTGCGGCGATGCTGCTCGATTACGCCCTGGATTCCATGTTCAAAGTACTTGAAGCCAACACTCACTCCATGGACACACAATGACATGCACAAACATCGAATGATGCCGTGACGCGTGTGCTTGCAGTGGAGCCAGACCGAGCCCGAGGCGCCCAGCAACAGCAGCCCAGTGCCCGACACATCGCCCGATGTACGAAGTGCATAGAACACAGACAGACAGACAGACAGACACGATATGACATGCCACACATAACGATTGGCTGACGTGCATGTACACATATGTGGCTGCAGAGTGGGGCAGACCGACAGCAGCTTCAAGAGGAACATAACGACACTGAGCATGGTGCGCACACAACAACCAACATCACAACCTGTGTTCGTGTACGTGAACCCATGGATATGGGCGGATGGATGGATGGAATGGTGGCAGGCGGCCGCGGTGGAGGCCCTCTCGCGCGAGAAAAAGTACTGTGTGGAGAGACACTAGCTGTGGTGGGTGCGCACACCACATACAACACACGAAGAGACACGCATATGTACGCCCTACATGCGTGTACACGGACGTGCCTCTCTGTATGATGTCCGCACACACATGTCATGGATGTACACAGGTGATTGAGCAGTCTCTCTGCGGCGATGATAAGACCAGGACGCCGCCAACCGACGGTGAGGGCGCGTCATTCATACGTCCGTTCACACACTCACCCGGACACGTGCATGCGAGTCGATCAACAAATACGCACGTGGTGTGTGTGTGTGTGTGTGTGTACAGATGCTGGGATTCTGGACCAGGAGAACAGCACATCAGAAGAGAACATAAAGGAGGTCCGTCCGTCCGTACACCTGACGTGCCGGCCACGTACATACATGTGCGCATGTCATCTGTATGTGTTTTTGATTCATTCATACAGCCTCAGAAGGGTTCGTTGGAGAAGCAGCGGGCTGACAAAGCGGCCCTCAAAAACCTCGGGATATTCAGGTACGCACATGGGAACGAGACGCCGACACTGCAATATCGGTTCGGTTTATCACCGATCGACCAGCGGTCTTGCACTAGCCATGCACAACTTCCCCGAAGGTTTGGCCACGTTCGCTGCGACACTGGCGGATCCAACCTTCGGACTCGGTACGTGCCACACTCTCGCATCGCACACACGCCAAGGATTTACATTTATTGGTGTGTGCGCACAGGGGTGGCCGTTGCCATCGCCATCCACAATATTCCCGAGGGAATTGCCGTCAGGTATACACGAATACGCGACTGACACGCACAGATGGCTCCACGGACGGGCACTCTGCTGCCATTGTGTACATTTGATCAGTGTGCCGATCTTCTACGCAACGGGCAGCAAGTGGAAGGCATTCGGTACGTCCGCACACACATGCACACGTACAAATTTTATGCTTCTTGTGTGGGTGTGTGGTGTACAGGCTGGTCGCTGCTCAGTGGCATTGCCGAGCCAGTTGGGGCTCTACTAGGTCAGTGAGTCAAGTGATTGCATCCATCCATTTGTCTGTCCACGCGCTCTCACACATGAATGCCACTCAGGCTACCTGGTGCTGATTCACGTGATGTCGCCCACTGCATTCGCCATTCTGTTCGGTACGTCTGTCTGCATGTTTGTGTATGCACCCGTGTGTGCCCACATGCACGCAGTGTTCTTGTGTCTCGATGGGGCTTGGCTTGCAGGTTTGGTGGGCGGTATCATGATTCATATATGCATCAAGAAGCTGATACCCACCGCACTCAAATACGACCCACAAGTACGCCATCCACACACAGATCCATCCTTCCTTCCTCCCATCAACACACGTGTGTGCGTGCGTGGTGTTTAGGATCGTGTGACGTCCAACACGTGTCTGCTGGGCATGGCCGTCATGGCGCTTTCACTCGTGCTGTTCCAAGTCGTCTGACTGATTGCTTCTGTATGTGTGAGACGTCAGACGTTCTTCGTACGATTTTAGGCCATGATCTGTCCCTCCATTCACACGACAGTGATCCTGACTCTCGAAGTAGTTCGTGCCTCTGTGCGCTTCTTTTTCGGTTTGTCATGTGCGTGTGGGGGGTCCTGGGTGCCTTGGCAGCCGTCGGTGCCTGTCAGTCATTCGTGTGACGACTTATCTGATCTGCGTGTGACGACTGACTGCACACACCCTGATGAGTGTGCCTGTGCGTGACTGCATGTGTACGATTCCATGAGGGAAAGAGAGATACACGTTTTTGTGCGTCTGCACACGCGAGGTCGACAGATACCACATGCAAACAAATAAACAAAAGAGCGTTTCGAGTCTACGTCGTTTGAAGAAGTGGAGTTCAAGCACAGGAACGTCAAGAAGGGAGGGACGGGGGGAGATGAGTCGTCACATCCATCGGAGGGTACACACACGGGATGGACACATGAGCTGTGGGATGGGGGGAGACAGAGACACCGACCTGACACTCAAACATATCGAAGTGAATGATCCAATAACGTTTGAGTCCATCTATCTATCCATCTGTCGACTTACCCCTCAACATTGATACTGACTCGATCAAGCTTCAGCATCACCGGATCAGCACGACAGTTTTAAGAGGAATGCCCGTCAACTGTCATCCATCTGCACATTTCGTTTTCATTTAATTAATGATCCATTGATGTTCGGGCGTCTCCTCATCGTGTCTGTGTGTGTCTCTGTCTACCCATCCCAACCCCATGTGTCTGTCTAGCCCCCACATAGCAGTCCGTACACTCTGCGCGTGTGACCACGGCTGCTGAGTGACGGCCAGTGTGTGTATGTGCCTGTACGTACAACATACAAACGCAACCATTGATCAATCACAAAAATGTCTGCCATAGCTATCTGGTGCCAGTGGTCGCGGCGGAGGTTGTGCAGGGTGGGGGAGCGACACACTCTTGACCACTCTGTGGTGATCAGATAGACAAGGGCGGAGATGAAGGCAGCTGCGGCTGTGCACCACGTGGCCGATAGCCATATAAAACATACATCAAATTTGTGACTCAGGGTGGGGTTTCGCGTATTATATGCCCAAGGTAGCCGTCTTACGTGATTAGCGTTTGGAGCAAGGCGATGAATGGACTGTTGATTCAGGAGTCGCGAAAACGGACTGACAGGCAGGAAGGTTCATTCAATGAGCATCTCGCTAATAACGAGGCATCTGAGCAGCCACTGACAAACGGCATCATACGGCATCACCAAGTCATGACACACACAACCATCCATACCGACTCTCACTGAGGACACGACACACCACACCGCAGACAGAAACTCGTATACCTTTGGTTGGCCACAGTGAGTGAGTGAGCGAGCGAATGATTCGGTGAGTGAGTGAGCAAGCAGCACCACACTACACTCCTACACCCCACGCAGTTAGCACCATCCATCCATCCATCCAGAACACCTCTCGAGAGACCTTCGTCCATCGTGGCCATAGGCACAGCCAGCATTCATCCACGACAACGCAAACAAAAAGAGAGAGAGTTAGGGAGGGAGGGACGGAGGGAGGGAGTTTCCTGTCTGTCTGGCTGCCTAGGTGGCTAGCAGAGTGTTCCATTGTCGCTGTGCACAGTCGTTGACGCGCTGCCATTCTCCTGCTGCAACAGCTCGTCACCCATTGCAGGCCTGTCACTCACACATGCAGATAGAACGTACACCCGCCGCAGAAATACACACAACACGCCCTCACCGTAATCCCTCACCCCCCGCCGACTGGCTCACTCACCTTGTGTTATCTGGGTTCTGCCCTCTGGCCGAGAGCACCACGCGCAGCAGCCTGACCTCATCTTCACGCGCCCTCACCGTCGCCTGCAGCTCACCCACCATCTGCTCGTACCTACATCCCCCATCCATCCATCCATCAGTCCGTGCAGAACCAACCATACACATACACACACGTCCAGTCCATGAGTGTGCATCCGTGTGTGTGTGTGTGCGTTGCCTGTTTTTCTCGGCGGTGAGTGTGTCGACGGCGTGTCGGGCGTTCTCCTGGAGCTCGAGGATGCGGTGGCGGTAGGCCTCAAGCTCACCACGGTACTCCTTCTCGGCATGGGCAGCCGCTTCACGGTGCGTGTGCCTAACATACACATACACACATGCACAGGTGGACAGGTGCCACGGCATGTGCCATTGCTTCCATCCAGCCTGGGCCTAAATGCGGTGCCTGCCTCCCTACCCCTCTCCCAGCTTGACTTACTGAGTGGCTTCGAGCTCACTCACACGTGCCCTCAGCTCCTTCATCTTCTCCTCGGACCTACACCACGGAAAGACCGACCAGCAGACAGATTGAAAATACAGCCCGTCAATCACTCACCCAGCCAGCCACCAACGCACCTATTACCTTGTTTTGTCCTTGTTGGCTCTGCTGGCCTCCGTCTGCCGGTCTGTCACACTCTGTTCGAGCACATGGACCTGCTGCTGAAGCCTGCACACACACACACACACACACACGCATCCATCATGTTCACTGATCGATCGTCCGGATGGGTACATCAGTCACAGCGTCACAGCGTCATACTGCTGGAGCACATAGACTTACTGGTAGAGTTTGGCTTCCATGGGTTCGATTTTGGCCTGCAGTGCCTGTTTGTCTGCCCTGAGTGAGGTGACCTCGCTCTGCCTCAGCCGCAGCTCCTCGAGGGCCTCGTCCTTGTCCTTGACACGCTCCTCGAGCTGACTCCGTAGACGGCCCACTGACCTAGAAGAACTGCACACGCCCACACACACACACACACACACCCGCACAAAAATGCACAGAGAGAGAGTGAAACACTGGGGGCCGGGGAGCAGTGTTAAGTTCAAGTAGAGAGAAGGTGCCTGCACCCACACAGAGGCTGAGCGCGTGAGGATTTTGTGTTCATAGTTTGCCTGTGTTGTGTGTGGAAGGACACCGGATGGGCGTGTGTGTGGAGGACGGCAGGTGCTGCTGAGGTGTTTCCCATGTCGGTCCACCTAGGGGAGCTCTAAGTAGAACACCTATGGTCTCCTTCCAAAGCGCAATCGCATCCTCATCAATGTCAAACATACGCTTTGCTTTGGCTTTGAGCAGCGTCGCCTGGTCGTTGAGAATGGGCAGCATCTTCCTGAAGACAGGCAGACAGAAACAGAGAGAGATCTCAGCTGGGGAGCCTTCTGGCTGCTTCTCGCTTCGTATGTGGCCTTTCTGTGCGGGAGCCTCTCTGCTGGCTCTCTGGGGTTCGGGGTTTGCCAACCCTGAACCCTAAACCCTAAGTTATGTGTAGGGTTTGCGAATTTCGTGAATATATGCGGTTGGTGTGCAGGAGTGCGCAGCACGCACGCAGACACATTCACACACACGACTTCACACCATAACCAGCAGCAGGTCGGGCCGTGTCGAGAGCCACACACGCGCACACAGCGGATCGGCTCGGCACAGCACACATCCATCCATCCATCCATCCAGAACACCTCTCGAGAGACCTTCGTCCATCGCCATAGGCGCAGCCAGCATTCATCCACAACAACGCAAACAAAAAGAGAGAGAGTTAGGGAGGGAGGGAGGGAGAAAGGGACTTTCCTGTCTGTCTGTCTGGCTGTCTGTCTGGCTGCTTAGGTGGCTAGCAGAGTGTTCCATTGTCGCTGTGCACAGTCGTTGACGCGCTGCCATTCTCCGGCTGCAACAGGTCGTCACCCATTGCAGGCCTGTCACTCACACACACACGCAGATAGAACGTACACCCGCCGCAGAAATACACACAACACGCCCTCACCGTAATCCCTCACCCCCCACCGACTCACTCAGTCACTGACCTTGTGTTATCTGGGTTCTGCCCTCTGGCCGAGAGCACCACGCGCAGCAGCCTGACCTCATCTTCACGCGCCCTCACCGTCGCCTGCAGCTCACCCACCATCTGCTCGTACCTACATCCCCCATCCATCCATCAGTCCGTGCAGAACCAACCATACACATGCACACACGTCCAGTCCATGAGTGTGCATCCCTGTGTGTGTGTGTGCGTTGCCTGTTTTTCTCGGCGGTGAGTGTGTCGACGGCGTGTCGGGCGTTCTCCTGGAGCTCGAGGATGCGGTGGCGGTAGGCCTCAAGCTCACCACGGTACTCCTTCTCGGCATGGGCAGCCGCCTCACGATGCGTGTGCCTAACATACACAACATGCACATACACATACACACAGATGGACAGGCGATTCCTTGCTGCCTCCCTACCCCTCTCCCAGCTTGACTTACTGAGTGGCTTCGAGCTCACTCACACGTGCCCTCAGCTCCTTCATCTTCTCCTCGGACCTACACCACGGAAAGACCGACCAGCAGACAGATTGAAAATACAGCCCGTCAATCACTCACCCAGCCAGCCACCAACGCACCTATTACCTTGTTTTGTCCTTGTTGGCTCTGCTGGCCTCCGTCTGCCGGTCTGTCACACTCTGTTCGAGCACATGGACCTGCTGCTGAAGCCTGCACACACACACACACACACACACACACATCCATCATGTTCACTGATCGATCGTCCGGATGGGTACATCAGTCACAGCGTCACAGCGTCATACTGCTGGAGCACATAGACTTACTGGTAGAGTTTGGCTTCCATGGGTTCGATTTTGGCCTGCAGTGCCTGTTTGTCTGCCCTGAGTGAGGTGACCTCGCTCTGCCTCAGCCGCAGCTCCTCGTGGGCCTCGTCCTTGTCCTTGACACGCTCCTCGAGCTGACTCCGCAAACGGCCCACTGACCTAGAAGAACTGCACACGCACACACACACAGACCATTGAATGATGCGTTCCCTTCCTCCTTCTTCGCTGCTCTCTTGGTTGCTCTCTTGGTCGCTTACTCCTGGGCCCGCTTCTGTTCCTCCTTCAGTCGGCTGTCGGCAGCCGCCAGTGCTGCCGCCGCCTGGTCGTGAGCATCAACCATCTCGGACAGCCTGGTGGGGAATGCACACACGATCGCGATGCATAGATCTGCATCAGTGAAAGCAGTGACGCACGTCTGTCTGTCGTACATCAATCACCTGTCTTTCAGCCTTCCTTCCGCATCGATATGCTCCGCAAGATCTTTCTCAAGAGCCCTGGCGGCCTCGTTCGTGGCAGTCAGCTCATCTGCATGCCGCTGCGCCTCGGTCGCCTTGACCTTCTCCACTTGTCGTCTGTGCAGCACATACGCGGCTGTCCCGGCTGCGCAGGCGCCTACTGCAGCGCCCAGAGCGACGTGAAGCAGTGGAGGCATCGAAGATGGCTGCATCTCCTCAGATATTCTCCCGCAGATGTAGAGGATGGGGGGTGCCTCAGAGGGAGAGAGGAGGACCAAACGACTTGAGGGGAAGGCACACACACGAGAGTCTCGACCCATGTACCGTGTAACACAACACTCGCTCCAACACCCCCTCTTCTGTCTTCGCGAAAGCAACTGGGCAACGTGTGCCTGACGAAAGCATACAACACCTGCTGCTCGGTCCTCTTGAAGCCCAGCTGACAAGTGCCCCCTTCCTTGTCATTCAGGCTGGCTGCCACCATCAGCCATTGATGAGCCTTGCTGAGATCAGAGAGGACTGCCACACAGTGTGCATCATCGTGCAGTGCACTTTGCAATGCTACAATCATCCTCGTCTTTGTTTTTGTCTTTCTTGCCCAGGTACTTCATACATACGTGTGCCCATTCAGGTCAGTCAAAGGCTCATAGCGACGCTTCAGCAAGCCTTAGTTCAGTGCAAACGTTTTGTGTATCAGTCTGTTGGTGTGGGATTCCACCCTGCTGGCTTGTTCTGAAGGTATGTACTCACCAGCCTCCTGTGTTTGTCCGTTGTCAGTGGTTTTGTGAAGATATCAGCAATGTTCAGTTCTGTTCTGACATGCGAGGCCTTCACTTCGCCTTTGCAGACCATGGTCCTCACATTGTGGTAGGCAGAGCGTATCGCCTTTGTCTTGTCATTGACGACATAGTTGCTTGCTGTGTGTCTTGCGCTGTCAGCGTCTGTGCGAATGTGTACGCTCGCAACGTGCCCAAACTCACTCGCTAGTCCGCATATGTGCACCAATTCGTCACAGCATCGACTCATCTCAACGTATTCAGCATCATGTGTGCTTCCTGTGACACAGCGCTGGTTTTTGCATCGCCATGTGACCGGATTGCCATTGAGGAATATGATGTATCCACCTGTCGATTTGCCATTCTCTTGATCGAGATGGCTGGCATCGGTCATTGCGAGGAGGTGCAGATCATCATGTTGGTCTTTGCGGAAAGTGATGCCTTGTTGTTTTGTGCCTTCCAGGTACTTGAGTATGTGCTTGACGGCATTCCAGTGTGCTGGCCCTGGATTTTGGCTGTGCATTGCGACTTCTTTCGTCGCATACGCAATGTCGGGTCTCAAGCATTGTCGACAGATACATCAGATTGCCAACTGCATTTCGGTAAGGTACGTTGGTCATCGCAGCTTTTTCTCTGTCTGTCCTTGGCTGCATGGAGCTCCTGAGTTTGATGCTTGTTCTGGCAGGTGTGTCAGTCGCATTGGCTTGATCGATGTGGTATTTTGAGAGTATCTGACTGACATACTCACTCTGCGACAGGTTCAGTGTGCCAGCGACCATGTCTCGCCATTCCGATGAAGCGCTTTGCGAAACCAAGGTCTTTGATTTCAAACTTCTCTTTCATTATTGCTTTGAACCAACTTGCCGATTCATCGTGCCCTTTTGCAGGTGCATAGAGGATGTCATCGACAATCACGCCAACCCAGAGTTGCTTCTCGTCATGGAAGTAGAGACAGGGATCAACCTTTGATCGACGGAAGCCGTGTTCTGTCAGGTGTTTGTGCAGCGTGTCATTCCATGCTCTTGGCGCTTCTTTGAGTCCATACAGGGCTTTCTTGAGGCGAATGCATTTGCCTGGTCGCTCGTAGCCCTTTGGACATTCCATGTATATCTCGTTGTCGAGCGGTGAGTATAGGAAGGCCGTGTTGACGTCCATCTGATAGATGTCTCTGTCTTGTTTGTTCGCCATGGCCAGGAAAACTTTGACCGCTGCCTGAGACATAACAGGAGAGAAAGTTTCGCCAACGTCAAAGGGGTCTTGTGCGAATCCTGATCACGAGTCGCGATTTGAACCGTCCATCCGATTTGATGCGGTACACCCATTTGTTGGGCATGATTTGCTTTCTGACCGTCTCGATATCAACGAATTCGAATACATCCAGGTCTGCCATCGATTGCATTTCTTTGTCCATCGATAATCGCCAACGTGGGTCTCTCTGTGCCTGCCCGTAGGTCTGTGGTTCGTCTTTTTCTGCACAGGCACCGCAATAGATGGCGTCTTCGAGCAATTCGTCGAACATTTGTTCGTCTTGTTCGGTAGGAAAGAATTCCTTGCGCAATGCATCGAAGAACGAGTTGTCTTCTGGTTGTGTGTCCTCCATGTATTCTTCAGTGCATGTTGCTGCTATTCGCGTGTCTCTGTGTGTCGTCTTTGCTGTGGGTATACGACCGACTCTCGGTTCGTCAGTTTGGAAGTGTTTCTTGCAGACATCACAGATGTGGTTGCTGTGAGGTTGCCACAAATCGATGGTCCACGTGCCCTTGCGTACGAATCGCTTGTCGTTTTCTGACTCGAAGTGGATCGATCGGCAATGAGGACAAATGATATCGGTAACGTAGAATTGATCAACGTTGAACGCATTTCTTGTCGCTTCGTTTGTCGTTGCGTATGTTTGTGTCTCTGCTTCATTCGGATCATCGACGACTGATAGTGCCCAATAGTCTTGGAATCGACTTGGGTATTTCTTCTCGCGTGTGGATCGGCGCAAAACAGGTATTGGCGCATTGTCTGGCATTGGCACTGCATCGCCGCCATGTATGTGCGCTCCATTGTGACCATTTGCGTTGTTCTCACCCCCTCCAATCAGGTTGTTCGTTGGGTCAACATCCATCTGATCGTTGTCTTCCTGCATGGATTGATCATCGTCACCCATCGCATCATTCTCTTCCTCTTCTTCCTCGTCTGACGAGTCGGAAGGGAAGGCGTCCGGTGGTGGAATCGGTTTGATCGGTACGCCCACTTGAGGCATCAACTCATCGTTGTCGACAGATGTTCCTTTGCTTTGACAGCCAATGTCGTCGAGTGTGAGTTGTTGTGATGGATGTAGGAACTCATGTTCGAAGAAACGGACGTCATTGCTGACAATGATGCGCCAACCTTGCGTCTTGTGTTTGACGCGTATGATATATCCATTCTTCATATTCGGGTGGTACCCAACGAAGATGCCTCTCACTCCTGGTCCTGACAACTTGCTGATGCGTTGGCTCTTCGGTAGGTAGACAACTGCTTTGCATCCAAACACACGAAGATGACTGAGGTCGGGCTTCTGTTTGTATCTCATTTGGAATGGTGTCTTCTGCTGGGGATTGGCCCTTGTGGGCAGCCGATTGTGTAGGTACACTGCGGTGTCGATTGCATATTGCCAATAGGCGAGCGGCAAGTTCGCATGTGCCATCATGGCTGTGCCCATTTCTCTGAGAGTCCGATTCATCCTCTCGGCTTTGCCATTTTGACGGGGATCGCGAGGTGCTGAGATCTCATGTTTTATGTTGTGTCTCGCCAGCTGACTGACGACTTTACACCAATTAGCTCTCCTCCGCCGTCTGTGCGTATGATTTCAGGTACGCCGACCGTGTTGAGGAACGATTCCAGCGCTTTTGGAGCGTCTGATTTCTTGTGGAGGAAGGCAAGGTACGTGTAGTTTGTGTACTCATCGACGAATGTCATGAAGTACTTCTTCCTCTGCTGGACGCTTTCAGGAAAGGGCTCTCCACATATATCTGAGTGGATGCGACCCAGCCATTTGATGGCTCTATTGGCAGTATCATCGTCTTTGTCTTTCCGAGCTCCGTGTGGCCGCTTGGTTATCTTTGCGATTGCACAATCCTCGCAGTCACACTTATGTATCGGAAACCGCAGTTTGCCTTGCAGTGTTTTCTCGAAGTTGCAAAAGCACCGAGTCAAACGCATTACGGACTTTGCGCTGCGATGCGCAGTTCTGTAATGAGCAAGCCAGTATGCCGCATTCTGACTGCTCGACCGGACTTCTGTCGGTTTCGACAGGAATGCACTGGGAATATCACCATCACATGTCTCCATTGTGTGTGGCTCCTTGTCCACTTGTAGGTTATCTTGTGGATCGAACGACATTGTGTGATGTCCCGAATGCTGCCCACGACCAAGACATTTCCGTTTGGCATCCGATGCATCAGTTGGTGGGTGGAATGAAGGTAGCTGTGCATCCATGCATTCGTTTCTGTTGAATCTGCCTGTCCCTTGACTCTTTACGTCAGCTGTGCCCTGTTTGTTTGTCTTCCTGCGTTTCGGTCCGTGTGTCTCAGATGCACCCAGCCGATCATGCGTATTGCACCAGTGTGTGTGCGCATGGGATTCTTGTTGGCTTGTATATGTTCGTATCAACTCATCCCAGCACTCATCATTCGCTCTTTGATCGTAGTAGTCTTGTAGGTCTTTGTCGGTCAAATTCCCTCCGACTGGCTCAAAATCAATTATATATAGGTCCTTTTTGGACTCAGCAACATAGGTCCTATTCGGACTTAGAATCAAACATTTCTCATCGTCAAATACTGCCTTGCAACCCAGTTTGGTGAGTGCTTTGACTCCCATGAGGTTGACTCGAAACTGCGGGACTAGTAGCGAATTGGGTAGTAGCACGTGATGCCCCTGCAGTCTGACTCGGGCCGTTCCCGTTGCTGTTACTGGGAGGATGTGTCCACTGGCCACCATGAGTCTGGGGGGTATTCTTGACCGAATCCAACCTGCAGAAACACTCAACAGAGTTGAAGATGATACCATGCAACCAGAGTCAATCAGTGCTTCGTGCGGTCGCAACACGGAGCTGACTAAGTCAACCAACTCTATGGTGACTAGACACTGGCTGAATGAGCTTGTCTCTGGCTCAATCAGGGGCTCAACAGGAAGTTTCGTCCAGTTGAGTGGGTAAGATTCATCTGAGATGTAACCTCTCTCTGTGACAGATTCGTGTGTCTTGTCTGCAACTCTCATCGCCAGCCTTGCTTTTGCTGTGTTTGCTTCTGTTCTTTTGGCTGTTGCAGCTGTCGCAGCTACCAGGGCAAGTAAGTTGAAGAGAAGCAGCAAGTACAGGCAGATGACTTCAAGTATGCTTGCTGTACTGCCTGCTGCTTTCTTCCCTGTTCTGTCTATGCAGCCCTGAGACATGGTAGCTATCCGGCCTTGCTTGCTGTTGCTCTCATGCAACTTACGTACCGTGGGCATGCCGTACTGTACGGTCATGGCGTTGAAACCTCTTCCTCTTCCTCTTCCGCGACCTCGGCTGCGAGGAAGAGAAGCAGCAAGTACAGGCAGATGACTTCAAGTATGCTTGCTGTACTGCCTGCTGCTTTCTTCCCTGTTCTGTCTATGCAGCCCTGAGACATGGTAGCTATCCGGCCTCGCTTGCTGTTGCTCTCATGCAACTTACGTACCGTGGGCATGCCGTACTGTACGGTCATGGCGTTGAAACCTCATCCTCTTCCTCTTCCGCGACCTCGGCCGCGACCTCTGCCTCCTCGACTGTAACCGCGACCGCGTCCTCTCTGGACGTCGTCAGTGATTCCGAGTGCTTGTTGTTCCTGTCTCATTGCAATCTGTATTGAGTCAAAGTGCTGTCCATTGTCATTCAGGCCACTTTGCTGTCTTATGTGTACCTGGACCGGACAGCACCACCAGCCTTTCCTGTGGCCGTATCGCCCACGGTCGAAGCAGTATCCTTGGAAGTTTCGCTTTTGGCTCGGTCCTTCCTGCTGGTACTCACCCTGACTGCCAAACGTGGTACTCGGCTAGCCACCAAGTGTGCTGTTCGGTTGACTGCCACCGTATGCATTGCTGGGTTGGCTGCCGCCGTACATACTGCTCGGTTGGCTGCCGCCGTACATGTTGTTGGGCTGGCCGAGCTGCATTTTCTTCATGTAGGTGTTGCCACCATTGCCGAACACCGACGCGCCCGCAAGACCGAAGGCCTCGCTCGTTTTGTTGTTCTGCGAGGCTTCCCAGCGGATGACTTGTTGGCGTACTGCACCAAACGTCGCAGGTGGGTGTAGGGCAAGGTCTTGGTACAGAGTGAAGTATTGGAGGCCGGCCTGCTGCAGGGCCTGTTGGAATCTTAGGATCTTGTCCTATTCCTTGAGCTCCCCTCTATCTCCACTAGCTTGTTTTGACGACTCGTTCGCCTGATCCACAACCCGATCGAGGTATTCCATATTCCTGCCAAGTGGCAGATCTTTTCTGATCGTGAAGTCGTCGAATTGTCGCCGTGTGTCGGTGGAGATCGCCTCGATCTGCTGTTGGTATTTGGCTTTGCACGCCCACCACATGGGCAGCCCGTCGCCTCTGCCCTCGTTTTCGTCGTCAGCCGTTTGGCACGCCATCATTATCGCGGAACACTTGCCGAAAGTGCGGCTGAGGGCTTGTGCGAAGATGTTCCCCTTCTTCTTCTCGGCCGGAGTCAAGTTATTTCAGTCCTTGTCGCGCTCCTCCTCCTTGAGAAGTGCCGTGAGGTTCTCGCCCTGATAGTTGATGAGGGCATTCTTCAGCTGGAACTCATGTTGGTTGAAGAGCGTGATGCTGCTATCGAAGACGGGTATGTAGTCGGACTTGTGCGCTGCCATTTGTGGTCCTTGGTGCCTTCAGTGGGTGGTGTGGTGTATGGGGCTGTGTGGGCCACTTGAATTCTCCGACTTCTCGTTGCGGACAGGGAGGGAACCGAAGGGAAAACAAGCCGAAAAACTGCAGTGGGGCCTCAGTTTCCGGACTTGGGAACGCTTGCTGCGCCCATGTAGAGGATGGGGGGTGCCTCAGAGGGAGAGAGGAGGACCAAACGACTTGAGGGGAAGGCACACACACGAGAGTCTCGACCCATGTACCGTGTTTTACACAAAACTCGCTCCAATAGCAGAGAGGAGAGAGAAACAGATGTGCTCAGCTAAGCTCGCGATCGTGAGCTTTAAAAGGGGGCTGGGAGAAATGGCCACGACAGCCAGAGCAGAGGCTCCTCAGGGCACGACACCTTCATCGTTTGTGTACTCCCCCGAGTTCAACCAATATCTTTCAACCGGGTAAGCGGCACAGAGGAAGTAGACCGCTTTCTCTCTGTCACTGCTTCCTTCCTCTCTGAAGGTTGCCGACGTATGGGGCCTACTTCAGCCAGCCCAACCTGCCCCACGACAACACGCTGGACATCCTGCTGTCGACCCCCACGGAGACAATCAAACAGGACCATGACAAGAAGAAGAAGAGATGTTTCTGCTGCCTCTGGTGACTGACTGACCACCATCCCGACCACCATGTGCAGACGTGAGATGGATTTGCTGCTGGATTTTGTAAGTCGGTGTTTGCTATGACGATTGGTGAAGGGGGGATGAGTGTGGGGCTGCGCACTGGCAATGACAATGACACTCGTGGCTTGATCGATCGATCACGCTGTCTGGAATATGTTCTGCAGCGTCTTTGCCTTTACCGCAGACGACACGTCATCCAGCGCCCTCACTTCTGCCTCGCTGAGACGCCAACCAAGTGCCCCTAGATTCTCCTCTGCCTGCAAACAACATACAACACACGCATGACCCCATTCCTAAGTCTGTACGCGTGGAGACATTGGACGTCGATCTATAGAGTACACCTGTTTTGCTGTCTTGACACCCACGAGCGGCACCGCGCCTTTCGCAAGACACCAATTCAACGCCACCTGCACTCACACACACAGGGACGCACACGGCAATAAACGCACACAGACGTGTGATTGATGGATTGCTTGACGAATTGATGCGTGTCTCCCTCCCTCCCTCCCTCCCCACCTGCCCGACTGTTTTGCTCCTCTCGTTGGCCACTTCCCTCAGCGTCTGTATCAGGGGGCCCACCTTGGGCAGCAGCTGACGAAACAACACTCCACGGGCACCCCTGAACAATACCAAACAGCCAAACGACCAACCAACACGACACAAGGGAGGACATCGTCCACGTCTGTCTCTGTAGTCTTCAGCGTGTTGTTTTGCTCACTTGGGCATGTTGTCAGCGTCGTATTTGCCCGATAGCAGCCCGAGACAGAGCGGGGAGTAGCCGATGAGCACCACGCCGTTCTCACGGCAGGTGTCCAGCAGGCCGCTCTCCAGTGGGACACGACTCAGCAAAGACAACTGCACCTGCACGTATACAGCCAGCCAGCCAGCCAGCCAGACAGACAGGAGGGAGGCAGGGAGGCGCAAGCGTGAGCGCGATACTGTGCGGCGAGGTTACTGTGTGGTGGGACTGCGCCCACTTGGTTCGATGCGAGAGTCAGTCCTCTTGCCTTGAGCTGCCGCACCACTCCTTGGAGCTTCACCGGCCCATAGTTGCTCACACCAATCGCCCGCGCCTGCCAGGCACGGAAGTTCAATCACATGGACGCTCAGATGCACTCTGTCTGTGTGTCGGAACGTACCATGCCCCTGTCGACGCAGTCTGCGAGGCCATCGATGTAGGCGTCCTCCTGCCAGCCTAGCGGGGGAGACCAGTGCAGCTGGGCAACATCCAGACACGGCTGATGATACCAACACAAAACACATTGCATGTCCGTAAAATACCATCCGTGCTCCCACCGGCGGCCTCACCCACTCACCCGCTGGAGCCTCTCGAGGGTCTCTCTGCACGCCTGCACGATGGAGCCACGGCCAACGCGCCAGGGGTAGGGGGCGAACTTCGTCGCCACACGAATGTCATCTCTCGGACCCCCCTTGTAAGACCTGACCACACACCACACTCACACAGACCACAGGAAGCACACGTGAGATGCATCCAGCACGTGTAATTGTGCGAGTGTGGCCGCTGGCAGTACTGGATAAACTTCCCCAAGAGGATCTCGCTTCGCCCAGCCAGCTCTCCCGTGCCGTAGCTATCGGCAGAATCGAACCAGTTCAGGCCATGTTCCACGCAGTAGTTGAACGCCGCTTGGAGCTCAGCATCTCTCGCCGGGTCGTAATCCCACAGAAACTTGTTGCCCCATGCCCACGTGCCAATGCCCATCGGAGCGACAGACAGGCCTCCCAAAGTGACGTAGTCGCCCTGTGGAATCCTCTCAGGACCAAGACCGGCAGCATCAGCAGGAGGTGGCCTTCCAACCGCCTGTGCAGATGGCACAGCGGCCGTGCACGCGGCGACCAAAGCCGCTGATGGAAGCAGCAGTGACTCGCCGATGTGGTCACGCCTCGACGGTGAAAGGGACAATGGACCGTTGTGGTCAGATGGCGTTGCGGCTGCCGCAGTCAGGTGTCGTCGTCTCTTCGTGTGCAGACCATTGATGCAGGGGTGGCGTTGAGTTATGAATTGAAGGCGACCTGAAACATCACACGCACAGCAAAGTAGAAGTGCGGATGAGTGTGGGAAACGGCACCATTCATCCATCCCAATGCTCACCTGAGCAGATGCTGCGGAGAGGCGTCGACGCAGGTGGAGGGAAGATCCTCGCCTCTGGAGCAGGTGCAGCGTCACTCCCAGGACAGACGAAGGCCAGCAGCCACTCACACACAACGCCGATGAGTGCAGGCATCATTCATGAGCAGTAATGAGCAGGAAGAGATCACTACAGTGGCACGCCCAGTAGTCATGCAGCAGATCTACGGGAAGGACGGGGTGCAGGGTTTGGGTTTCGTGCGAGCTCAAGGTTGAGCTCAAGAGAGCGGGAGGGAAGGCGGCAGCGGCATCCTCACAGCCGTGATGCTGCCATGATGAGCGTGAAGCTGCCCCGCATCGACGAGAACAAAGAGCTGGAGCTGCCTCTGCCCTCCTGGCGCAGACCCAGACGAGCAAGCGGAGAGGCCTGGCACTCCCAGCCGCCGTCTCGGGGTGGTGGCCGCACACTGGCCCTCCTCACCCGCAACCGCCACAAGACTGCCTCTCACACCAACACCAGCAGCGACATCAGCACCAGCACGCCCGCGTCCGAGTCATCGAGACCCAGCTGGCTGTCCAACGCTCGACAGGCTATCGGCCACAGCCGAACCTTCACCTTCCTGGTTCACACATATGAGGGCCGGGCGTTGTCATCATCGGCCTCGGCCTGCCCCTCCCCGCCCCACAGCAGCAGCCCGGCGTCCCTCGGAGTGCGGCTGACGTCATCGGCCACATCAGCCGTCATGCACGCGGCGTGGACGGGCCTGGCGGCCGTGTGGCTGGCCGTCCTGAGAGGCCGCAACAAGGCCAAGGCGGGTACAAGCCACAAAGCTGTGGCATTAGCGGCACTGTTCCTCTTGTGGCTCCTCTGCCCCCTGCCTATGGCCTTAAGGTTGGCCACGGCACGACGCGCAGACAGAGACCCGCAAGGAGATGGAGGAGATACGGAGAGAGAGACAGTGGGGGAAGCGACCGAGCCTGATGAATGTGATGGATGAGGCGGGTGGGAGAGGGACAGACTGACGGCGGACAGACAAAGAGAGAGAGAGAGGCCGACTGGTTGGGTTGGGTTGGTTGGTTCTTTGCTTGTTAGGCCGTGTGGATGAGTGCGTGGCGTGGCGTGCATCGGTTTTGGTGCGGGGTGGGTGGGTGGGTGGGTGAGGGATGGGCTGGTGAGTGGGGGTGAGTGGGTGTCGTGTCAGCCGCTATGTAAGAAAGAGGGACAGTACAGTGAGAGCGTTGGTTGGCATTTTTGCACCACCATTCGTGTGTACGGGACGGGCCACTTGGAGGGGGGTGGTGTGGGTGCTGATGATAGATGTTTGTTGTTCTTTTCAGTCAGTCATTATGTGTAAGTGTATTGCGTATGTATACATACATATCACTGGCATACACATCACTGGCGAGAGAGAGACATGCCCTGCCCACATTGCATGGCGTTGCACGTGAGTGACTGGCTGCATGCCACAAATTGGACATTGACTGCCACGGTTGGTTGGTTGAAGACACGTGCCATTTGATGAATCCACAGGACCGTGCCGTCCGTCGATCCGTTCGTTTGTGCGTCCCTCACTAACGCAGGCAGGCAGGCAGGCAACCATGCCCTCACTTGGCAAATACGCATACGCATACAAGCACACGAGAGACACTCGCACAGACAAGGAGGCTCGAAGGAAAGAGGGAGAGACACAGCGAGCGGCACACCGCCACCACACAGCACACACCCACACAGCGCCATGTATCAGAATCAGCACACAGGCAGGCCGGCAGGTCGTGTGCACGGGGAAGGGCGAAGTGGTACGGTCCTACGGAGGCCGGGATGCGGGCAATCTTGACGTTAAAGGCCTGCACGACCAGACAGACAGACAGATCGATCCACACCCTGGTGTGTGTATGACTGAATGTAATGTTGGTCTCAGTAATTAATTTGCCCCTCAGGCGTTCCTGTATGTCATGGTTGAGGTTGTTCCACGCCTCGGCTTCCTCGGTATGTATGGTAAGTGTATTCCTCGCCACGCAGTCAGTGATGATGGGAGGCGATGAGAAGAGCCCCGGCAGTGAGAAGGAGGAGGGCACTCGAGACTCTCCTGCAATATTCACCCCACGCTGCCCGAACCATTCACAAGACCTACATGGGCAGGAAGACAGACATCGAGAGAGACACGTGTGGCCAGCGTGTTGTGTATGCGCCGCGTTTGATTGTACGCACACCCACTCGGTGCACCCATCCACTATGTGTGCGTGCGATGCCACACGCGTAGGGTTGTGACTAAGCCAAGGTGCGGTATGTGCCGCAAGAGTGTCAGGAGGCGTGTGTCGCCGCCCCTTGCTTGTGAAGAGACAGACAGACAGACCAGGACTGAACGAATGGATGCGCATGCATCATGTGTGGGTATGTGTGGTTACCGTGTGTGGCGGATGGGTGGAATCTTACGTACACGGATGCAGTTTTTGTATAGTATAGAGCGACAAGTATTGACTTTTATGTATCAACGAGCGTCTCATTGTCGCTGTCGATGGATGCTAGTAATACTTGCTTTTGGGCTATGAGGCTATGACGAGCTTTCCGGCTGGTGTTCGGCGCAGACGACATAATCAAACCCAAACGAGTGCTTCTGGTCGTTGCTGTAAAGCTCTCGTGTCTCTTGGGACAATTGGTCGAGATACTTCGCCATTTTATCGGCCAGTTGCGTATCGAGAAAGAAGGGCAATTTGTCCCTCAGCACTTGGATCTACAACCAAAGTCAAGAAGAAAGTGGAGAATTTGCCATGAGCTAACTTGAAGACGAACCTGACGCTCGACTTGTCGAGCCGAATAGAAATTGGGCCATTGTTTGCTCGCGTCAATACGACATTTGACCTTTTGTAGTTGCCGATGAACCCAATCCTGCGGATACTCACGGTAGCATCGATGGCCAGCGAGAAGAATACACGCATCTCGGACTCTCGCAACTTGTTGGAGGAGCTCGGTCGCCTTGGATGTCGCCTCGCTGTTCGAGAACGGTTCAAGTCCGACAATGTACAGCCATCCGCGCGGCTTGAGGTGCTGAACGAGGCGAGATAAGATTCGATCTTGAAAATAAGGTGCGAATCCGTCGCCGTCGATTGCCCCGATGAGGTAGTCGGCGACAATGACATCGGCTTGAAAGTTGCTGAGAAATGTCGAATCGGCCCAATTCCCAGTGAGTATCTCATCTTGGGGCCGCAGCTTATCCTTGAATTGTTGCCGTAAGGGCTCGGCCTCACTGTCACTCCCTGTGACGGCGACAAGCTTCGTAGTTTTCTTCTGCTGCGCCACAAGCCACGTCAGAGATTGCAGCCCAGTGCCAGCGTCAAGAACTACTCCCCAGCTTGCTGCATCCGAGCGGCCGCGTTGTTTAAGTGACGTGTCTAGATGCTGAGCAATGAATTGGAGCAAGAGATCCCCCGGCTCTTGTGAAGACGATGCTGTGTTGCCTGCCGTCTCCCCTTTGTGACAAAACGCAGACATGCAACATGAAGGCGTGGCTGATGTTGGTAGCTGACTGTGCTGGCATACCATCCTGCGTGTATCCGCCGGCCTCTTTCGAAGGCTTCTCTGCTGCGGTATACACACACACATACATATACAGATATACATACAGACAGACAGACAGACATTCACAAGAGGGTGGGAAGTGTCTTTGACCGTTTTCAAGTTGAGTGGTGTTCATGTGAGCCATGGCGGCTTCAGCGAAGGAATAAGGAATGTCGCAGACTGCCAGGCACATGAATAACATTGGTCTCTATCAGAGGAGCATATGTATGTGCGTGTGGACTTGATCACCCACCATTCTGGTCGGCGCACAGCTTATCAAAACTGGTTGCGGCTGTGCGGATCAGCCGGGCGGCGGCAGTGTTCAGTTCGTGGGCCGCAGTAAGGGTGGCCATGGTGTGGTTGAGCTGCAGCTGCACCGATGAAATCTGCTGGGCACCTGCCGACACACATGTACCACATCAATTGAATGTGGGATGAAAGGGTAGTCTAAGATGTGGGGGCGGTCACCTACCGAGCTCATGAGCGGCCATCGACATCTCTACGGCCATACATCACAGAAAACAGCCATACAAATGCACACAATGTAGGCAGATTTGCCATGATGCATGGTCGGCTCGGTGTGTGTGCCCCGCTGTGGCTTACGTCGGTCATAGTTGCGCTGGGCCGCCAGGAGGGGCTGCCCGATGGCGGAGAGGCCACCCAACAGGACGGCAGCGAAGTTGAAGCGACGCATCGAACGTCGAAAACGATGTGTGCGTGCACTCGGGCCACTTGGAGCTGTTGGACAGACGCAGAGACTACAGATGGGGATGACTCGGGCTCGCGTTTCGGCGAGACGCCCGCGTCTTGCCCACACATTAGGCCTGCATCGAGCTAGCATCGAGGGGACCAGTGGTGCAGCTGACGCAGCGAGTGTGGAAGCTGCCGAATGGATAAACGGATGAAGACAATCAAGTGGCCTGCCATGCTCAAAAGACAAGCTTGAGTCGATAGCTTTCTTGAAGACAAAAGTCTGACCCACACGCAGACATGACATGCATGCTTCATGGTCAATGTGATGAATCTTAAAAACACGCTCATTGATGCGCACAGAAGCAGGTAAGAGACAGCGCATCCGTCACCCGATTCTCTCCTGTTTGTCCTCGCTGCGGGGCAAAAATCGATCTTGCCGCAGCGGTGAACCGAGAAGAGACATAGCGAAGCAGTCGAGTGAGTGCATGCACAGCAGACGGACTCATTTGTTTACGCGTACATGCAGAGAGAGGAGTACGTGAGGATACGTACACATAGCTGATGCGTACACCCGTGACACATACGACATGTCGCGCATGCGCGTACTCATTCGTCCACTCGATCACACACAGCAACCTTATCGTAGCCCGTCTGCCTGTCTGTCTGTCTGTCTGTCTGCTCGTCTGTCTATCAGCCAGCCAGCCAGCCACCCACCCACCCAATGCTTGTATGACCTGCCCAGCAGCTGGTCAGCATCTTCACGATGCGCCCGCGAAACCTGACACAACCAACAGAAAACCGAGCAATCCACTCGCCGCAGTACGTACCGCTCTTCCCTCTCTGCCTTCCTCTCTCTCTTTCTCCCTCTCATTCCTTCATTCGTTCGTTCATTCGTTCATTCACGCACAGGTACCTGCGGGCTGGGCGGCCGGTGGGGCACCGAATGACTGCTCGATCTCCTGATTGGCCATCTGCACGTCCACCTCCGTCGCATGCGGCCCGTTCTGATCGACCGCCATGCCGTTGCTGCTGCTGGTGCCGCCCTCACCACCCCTGGAAGATGACGGCCTGCTGGGCCACTGACTCCTCGGCGGCACCCGGACGGGCGGGGGCGACTGGGGCGGGGGTGATGTGGGCGTGGTGGTGGTGGTGGTCTTGGTGCGGCCGCGCATGGCACTTGGTGGAGGGGGGATGCCGCCAGCGAGGCGCGAATCGCCATCCTGGTTCATCAAAAGGAGGGAGAGAGGGAGAGGCTTAAAGGCTTCTAACATGTCTGTTGTGTACGGGTCTGTCCCTGAGTGGATCGATATCTCACCTCTGCTGCCGATGTCTGCGTGGCCCCCTGGTAGGTGAAGCCCCCCTGCTGTTGCTGTTGCTGTTGTTGCTGTGCCTGCGTGGTGAGTGGCGCGCCGCCGAGTGTGGGCTGTGTGGTCTGTGCGGGTGTGGCAGTGGTGTTTTGCGTGGTGTTGTTGCTGTAGGGGTAGTATGTGTTGGACGAGGTGTAGTAGCGGTAATCAGGGTCCTGATGGCATATGGATGGAAGAAAACACACATAGTATTGAGAGGCGTGGAGGGGCAAGGGTGATGACTGACCTTTAGGTCGATGTCAGGTGTGTCGGATACGATGTCTGTGCCGGCGATGGTCATGCGGAGGTGCATGGTGTACGACTGCTGCGCGTTGGCCTCCATGGAGAGACTGCCCTCCAGCAGCTGACCTGCACACACCATGACAACAAAACAAATCACACCGCACCCCAGACCAGGGTTGTTGTGCATACCAGGGTTGACGGCAAGCGGCGTCCTCAGCAGGAAACGAATCTGATACCTGCAAGCAACCGAACGGTAAACGAACAGTAAACATGTGCATGGGTGCATTGACGGCTTCTACGCCACACGAGATCACACCTTACCAGTGCGTGGGTGTGCACCAGGGAGATGTCGAGAAGCCCAGCTCCTGCTCGCTGCCCTCGAAGATAATGTCAAACCAGCCTGACACGGACAAACACACGAGCGGCGTCCATCCATCCATCCATCCATCTGTGTATACGTGTCCATCATCCGCCCACGCGCACCTGCGAGCCCATGCACGAGGCACGGAGCGCCGACACGAAACTGGAAGTTGATGGTCATCTGCTCACAGACACAAAGACGGACACAAAAACAGCGGGAATGCCTCTGCGCCTTCGAGAGTGCATACACACACGAGTGAGTGCTGTACCGCGAGCAGCGATGACTTGGGCATGGTGGTGAAGTCGTATTCCTCGACGTGTGGCGGGCACAGCAGACACGCGGGGTCGATGTAGTCTGCGCACACAGCAAATGCATAGATGGATGTGATCGATGGCCATGTCTGCCTGCATCTGCGTGCAATGCTGGCTGTGGGTGTGCTCGTGTTCGCGTATAGCTGACCGACGACAGGTTGCCTGAACTGCTCAGCCGTGGCCCTGTCAGCAACGGGCGACAAGTCCACACCTGACAGACACACAGAAAGTCACTAGTGACACTGGCGTGCGCCGCGCCACGCACCACCTTGTCTCTCTGTCACCTACCGAAGAAGTTTTGGTTCTTCCAGAAGGTGTTGCGACCACACATCTCATTAAACAACACCTGTACACACGCGTGCCACCACATGGCAGGCGTCATATAACTAGTGAGCACGCCCACTCACACCTCACTTGGTCGCTGAATGGCGTCACGCAGAGCTTGCACTTGTTAGGAAACATCTTGCCTGAGCACACAAACACACACAGGCACGACACCATCCCACATACATACAATACAGAACTTCGAGTGTGTGGTTCTCAAGGCTGGGTTGCTCACCTCCCGGCTTGAGGAACCGGTCCCTGGCCTCCAGGTAGGTCTCAATCATCCTCTCGTTGAACAGGAACGTCCCGATCGGCTCAGACACCAACACGTCCACCTTGCCATCCACGAAACAGTCATCTGCTGCCGGCGCAGCGCTGTTCGCCGCCACCACACCGTTCTGCTGCTGTTGTTGCTGCTGCTGTTGTTGCTGCTGCTGTTGTTGGTCGGGTGTGTGGGCCTGGGTGTTGTGTTTGAGATGGATTCTCTCGAGCGGCCTGCCCAGCACCTTGATGCGCGAGCCGATGGCGGGGTTGCCGTCACACAGCGCCTGCGCCACATCAGCCATGCGCGACGCCTCAACCGCATACCTACAACACACACACATCCACACATCCACACATCCATGTGCATAGCTGTCCCGCCTCTCTCTCTCTGTGGGCGTGTATGCAATGCAGCTTACACTCTCCTAGCCCCGGCCATGGCAGCGAAGAAGGAGAGGATGCCGGTGCCGGCCCCGACGTCCATGACGGCCTTGTTGGCGAAGTCGCGGATGTTCTCAGTGATGGCGCGGTAGTAGAGCGTGGTGCGGACGTTGTCCTGTAGCATGTTCATCTGGTTGGACAGCTTGCCGTAGTAGAGGAAGTACGACTGCACCGTATTGGCGTCCATCCCCTCCAGCGACGACGACTCCATCGGCACCCCCGCAAGCACGCTGCTGCTGCTCGGGAGCTGGGAAACACCTGAGCGATCCGCAGATGGACACGCAGACAGCTCAACGGGTGAATGGATGGATGGATGGATGGATGGGTGACACACAGGGTCATTCGGTGCGTACCCTTGCACCGCTGGTATTCGTTGAGGAATGCGCTTGCGTCCTCCTGTGTGCCGAACTGCATGGCGAAGGTGCGGCTGGTAGCCGCCGACTGCGATGCCCCTCCCCCTCC